ACCTCACACTAACCACCAGGTTTAACTGAGCAGCTGATGGAACAAACTGAAGAAACTATTTAGTTCAGAAAACAAAAGAAATGACCAGAGCGAAGAGGAGGTCAGAAATAATTCAAAAGAATCGAAATGAAGTGAGGAAGATTATTTACTGAATAGTTTATAACTAAAAATACATTCAGGTGTTAATTCTAACTCTTCATGATGTGTTTCTGTGTGTAGGTCATCATATCTGGTCTCTGTGTGAACATTATGAACTCTTTTTATCTTCAAACTAAAACATTCCTGCAGACATGAATCTAAAAGAGCAAAACTAAACAACACCTGCTGCTCCTTCACACAGGATCAGGAGCTCACGTTAATGTTTCACACTTCAACTCAAACTTATTTACTTGACAGTTTTTACTGCAGCTGGTCCTGCTGGATTCATCTCCATGGTTACCGTGTTGCTGCTCTCTGATTGGACGCTGCTGCAGATGTTACCTGCTCACCAAAGAGCTCCTGACTGAGAGCTGCACTCAGACGTGACTTCAGACTGAATCAGTGCTCTGAAACGAGTCAGTCGTTAGTTATGATGGAGGAAAGATTTCACACACAAACACACACACACATTCAGAAACACACACACACATTCAGAAACACACACACACATTCAGAAACACACACACACATTTGTAAGGAGCGGCGTGCCGTCACAGGAATCGGAGACGTTTCAGTGAGTGAGAAGAGACGACGTGTTAATAATGTGAAACATGTCCGAGCTGAATCTACTGAGGCCGACATGATCATTAAAACAGAGTATAACTAGGAGCCTCCTTTAGCTCCAAACACATGCACTGATCGTCCCTTTAATCATTTGATCCATGGAGGTCACTAAAGGCCTTAAAGGGACAGTACACAGTTTGACCGTGTGCTCGTTTGACCTTCTTATGACCACACGGCGTGTTACCTGCAGGAGATGAAAACATACTCGAGCAGCTTCACTAAAAGTCCCACTTCAAGAAAAACACAGAAACCTGAGTGTCCGCTGTGTTTGTCAATATTACACCTCTCCATCAGACCGCCTTTTCCTCGGGGACTACTTTCTTTAAAAGCGCACATCGTCCGTGTTCCTCCACGTGCAGCTCGCCGTATCAGATCAGCGTCACAGAAGAGACGAGGAACACGATGGAACACGATTCAACACGACAGGAAAGACATCAACTCTACTCCAGCGACTTTCTAAAGTTCAGTTTGTGTCCACTTTGTTTGAAATGTGTCGATGTGATCGTATGTTTGTGACTGAGGTCAGAGCTCCAGGTGATGTCACACCTGATGATGTCATACTGAGGCTGCTGGGTAAAGAGGATTAACTCATCCATTCAGACACATTCACACGCCGCCGACGAAGCAGAGGGAGCAACTTGAGGTTAAGCGTCTCGCCCGAGGACACATGGGACATGTGGCTGCAGGAGCTGGGGATCGAACCCCCGACCTTCCAGTTGAGAGACGACCGACTCGCCCACTGACCCACAGCCGCCCCGATGTAGACATATAACTAACATTAGAAATAAGAGTAAATGATATTAGTAGTATTCAGATGTTTTTATATCAATAGCAGCAGAAAAACCAACAAGAATCACATCACATATGTTCCACTTTAGAGCCGTATGAGATGAAAAGAGCGCTTACATCTCCATGGACGCTCACACATTCTCACTGTCCAATCATGAAGGGCTACATGACCTTTAACCTCAACTTAGAGACGGCTCACTCGTCGTCCTGAACGGCTTCTGATCAACGGAGACACAACCCACGTCTGCTGGGAGGAGTGATTGACAGCTGTTTTGGCCTACAGCCATTCCCAGGAGGCGGGACTTAGCATGTGACAGGCTGAGATAAACTAAGGCGTGTACAGTAGAGGAATATAAAAGAAGAGAAGTGGAGATACATGAAGGGATGTGAAATCTTCTTTCCATGAACCTTTGTTTCCTCCGTGTCCACAGGAGCAGCTTCAGAGCCGCACGTCATTGGTTCTCCTGCCGTCGTTCTTTTGCAACGACGCCCTCGTTTTAATCCACCCAGACACGGCTTCTTGGAGGGGGGGGGGGGCTGTGACTCCTCTTCAACATGGTAGTACGACTTCTGGTGCGTTCCATTTACCTCTCAAGTCGAATGTCCGAGCTAGGATTGACGTCACACCCGAGTTGAGCGCGTTCCCATGACCAGTTTGAAACCAGTTTGACCAGCAACATGGACGCCTCCAGCAGTTCTTTAGTTTGATAACAACACACTACGTGATAGTTTGTGTCTGAACGTCACATGACCACATGTCCACAGAGAGAACTTCCACGATACCATCGGTGTGATTGATTTCATTACATCAGTTTCAGCTTAAACGTTACTGTAGATGCACGCAGCAGCCATGTTGGATTTTAGCTCGGGCTACTGAGGTCGCTCCGAGTTTCCAGAGTTGGAGTTCTGACTTCAGGGCCGTCCTTCCTCCTCCAGGTGGTGGCAGGGCGTACGGTTGGACAGGGAGGGGTTCCCTCCAAAAGAGACATAAATACTGCTGAAGGAAACATGGCAGTCCCGTATTTGTGAACTCAGAGCTGAGAACAACAAACCCAGAGGGAGTTTAAATTCACTCTCTTATTATGAAGTCTTTACTCCACAATACTAAATGTTTATTTCATGTCATGTTAATATTCACAATGTCTTTTAAATATATTGCTTGTCTTCTTCTTTGTGATACTTTACTTATCTACCTCCACATGCTTTAATCTGAAACATCTATTCTGCAGCTTTCTGATGAAATCTTTTGTTTCCTCCGTGTCCACAGGAGCAGCTTCAGAGCCGCACGTCACCAACCTTCATCAAACAAGGACAGGCCTGCTGCAGTGTTTAGTCAGAGGAGCTTCTCCTCGACCTAAAGTGGAGTGGAGGGACAGTTCTGGAAACATCCTTCATGCTAAAGAAGCACAGGTCACAGAAAGAGGAGGCAGCTACGACATCATCCTCCAAACCACTGTGACCAAGACCGACCACTACAGCTGTGTGGTCACACAGGACCAGATCAAACACCACACTGAGGCAGAGACCTACGTTCACATCAACGGTGAGATCTTTTCATAGTTTCAACTCTAAAGCTGATCTGATGAGACAGGAGGAAGTTTATTCAGAATGTTTCAGAGTTTTAATCCCACGTTTCCTGAGACTCCTCGCTCTAAATATCCTGAATCTACATTTAAGGCTTCAAACAGAAACTGAAGGTTGTGTTTAAAGGTCACATATTCTCCTCCTAATAAAGATGAACTACAGAGTAACGTTAGTTTGTCCTGATGATGATGAACGGCAGGAGACCACCAGTCTGAAAAGATGTTTCATTATTTATTCATAATTCAGCATTTTATATTTATGTGAGGGCTGTCCAACCAGCAACATTTTGAATCTCCATTAATCGCTACATTTCAAAAGTTAGTGGTGATTAAAGACATTTTGAATCCCGTGTGTAACCCTAACTCTAACCCTATGCAGTAACATGTTCAACCTGTAATATCATGTATGTGGGAGAAACAAACAAGCAGCTGAAATACAGATTGAGACCACAAATCTACCAAAGAAACAAAGGCAAAGAAAATCCGGCCGTTTACATGCACTTCAGAAGACGTGGAGCAGACCATCTGAAAACAGAAGGCATCAAAAGCAACACAAACTGGTCCAGAAGTCAACGCCTCAGAATGGAAACCACGTTCATCAAATGATTGAAAAGAAAGAAACCAAACGGCCCAAATGAAAAACTTTGATTCAGGCCGCCATCTCCTGCTCAGAAGACGGAAGGACAGTTGTTTGGTTTCTCTGCTTTTAACTGCAGCCAACAAGGAAAACGGGGAAATACCGCCACCTGCTGGTGCACCAACAACAACACGGTTTCCCCCTACCTGCTTTTATCCACGGTGCAATGCTGCCACCTGGTGTCCAAAAGGTGGAAGGACAGTGAGAGGGATTGTTTCACATCTATGGAGTTTTAGATCAAACAAAAACTAGTTTGAAATGTTTTCATCTTGTTTTAATGAATGGATGACTTTGTGCATGTTGTTTTGTGTGTCTTTTACTTTCCTTTATTTATTGACAGCATGATCTTAGCACTTTATTTAAAGCTTGATCAGGACACACAGAGTATTGCGTCTATATCGGCCTTTGCAGGTCGTCAAAGAAAAGAGTGCAGCGAGGGACTAAAGACGGGAGTGAAGCTGTGACGTCGTTATGAATGACTTCCAGATCCAAGATGCTTTAGTCATTTATTCTACAAAACACAAGAAACTACAACTGCAGTTACCGGGTGGTAAAATCAACTTGTGATGGCAGTGCAGTGTAGTGTGGCGCTCAACAGAAATGTTCTGCTCCCACGCTCAGCCCCTCTCTCCATCTGAGACTAAACCAGGTGAACAGGTGAGTGCGGCTCATATAATCACTGACATCACCACGACATGTCCCACCTGTAACAAGAAGTAAACAATAAACAAAGCAGTAAACAAACCATGAAACCAAACACACCATCAACTTCCATTCATGGCTCCGACACAGAGGATCCAGAAAGCCTCCAGCCTCCACAACAACTCCATCGTCACGCTCCAGGAGAAACCTCACAGCACAGGATACAACAGCATCAGCGTCTGTAACGTATCCACCTCCCACTCACCTGTATATATCAGAGTCAGCAAACCAGCTCCACCAATCAGGACGTTTGTCACCACAGGGAGGACACATAGAGCACTTGTTTTATTGATTTATTACTACCCCATGAACACTTTGAACACTAAGCTGCATGTGATTTAACGCTGTCCTCTTTTACCGTGTGAACTTTGATGATTTAACGACATTCATGAATTCATTTATTTCTTGTTGTACTCACCTGTTAGAGAAACTTACCTGCATCATTTCATTCTTTTCTTTGCTCTCATAGGGGAGGAGGGTCAGGGTCTCCACCTCACCTGTACACAAAGAAACAACAACTTCCCACTTACCTGAACCCTAATCCTAACCATCCATCTCCACATCGTCCTCTTCCCTGCTTTTTATTCTTAAGCTCACCCACAATCCTAAAGCTAACCGTGAACCCAGCAGCCTCCCTAAACCTGACAGCTTCCTTCTCTTCAACACAACCAAATGAATCTGTTTACTTTGAATCTACCATGACATCTTTTAATGTTCTTCTCTTTTACACTTTTAGCTCTTTTTAGGCTTTTATGATCTGCTTTCTCTCCCGCCTACTTAGAGGGGATTTCAAGAGGAGGACCCCCTCCTACCAATTAAAGAAATACTGACCAGGGCCTGTGCCATCTTTGGACCACAAGCTGCTCAGACCTAAGTCCCTTAACCTATATACAAACTGATAGGCTTTTATTTTGAAGGTTTGCACTGTCTTAAGCTGAGAGTACTTTCCTTGCTGTGTGCTTTTATTTTGAAATACAGTAAGGCGCTTCCTGTAGATGGAAGATAAGGACATGAAGTTAAGCACAGAAACAGGAAGTGGTTAGAGATCCCAAACTGAGGTCAAACAGCTCAGAGGAACGGTAACAAAGGTCAATGTGTGATGTCATCAGGTCAATGTGTGATGTCATCAGGTGGATATTACTGTGTGAGAGTTTGTTAAAGTGAAATGAGACGTTCAAAGATGCAGCAGTGTTCTTCTTGTCCATCAGTGAGACTACAGGGAGACACTGAGGACCACTATCTACGGAGAGCCTGAAGGGACAAACAGGAGATTAATGTGATTAACTGGTTAACGCTGACAGCTCGTATTTATTTGTTTTATTTCATTACTTTGTGAAAATACGCTCAGTATAATATTTGTTATCACTGATTTTCACGACGTTGTTCGACAGCAATGATGTCATCATCGGGGGCGGAGTCATGTCTGAAATGTTTTATTATCCTGCTGAATGAGAGCAACTTTAATTTAAGGTTTATTTTTGTGCTTTTATTGTGAAAGGACAGAGGATAGAGTCAGAAATCAGAGAGAGAGAGAGAGAGGGGAATGACAGGAAAGGAGCCTCAGCTCGGGATTTGAACCCAGGCCGCTCGCTTGGAGGACTACAGCCTCCGTACATGAGGGGCGTGCAAACTAACCACTAGGCCACCGGCGCCCCAAACGAGAGCACTTCAGAGTCCACTCCAGAGAATATGTGAACATCAGACTGAAGTTCCTGAAGCTGCAGACAGAAGAGGAAGAATCAGGGAGTCTGCTGGAAAACATGAGAAAGAAGTGAAGTTAGTTTTGAATGTTTCCGTCAGTCTTCTTCACGTTGAACACAAACCCAGTATCAGATCTGAAACCAGCTTCAGTGTCCTCGTTCTGAGGATCCAAGTGAAAAGACGTCTCAGGACGATTCAGGGACTGAAGTCAGAAGAAAGCAGCCACGTTTATTTTCCACAGGGGAAAGAAATGTGGTTCTAATATCTGTGAGTTATTGTCCCACATGTTGAAGTAGCTGCTGCGTTTAGTGAGAGACGAAGGAAACAAACATGAAGGAGGAAACTTCAAACATGTACAAACTGTTTCATTATTGATGTTTGTTTTCATTTCTTCACTCTAAACTGACGGGAGACTAAAAAGTGGGACCAAACTTGAAGTGTGAATCAGTTCAATGATGGTTCCTGGTCATCATTTGATCCCTTACAGACACATGTGGACTTTAAAGTGCAGTTTGTATGAACGATGTAAACATGTTGTTCATCACGTCACAGAGAGAGTCCTGGATGATCAACATGTTGGAGTGAACGTCGTCTTTACACGCTCTTTCTTCACTGCAGCAGAGTGTTGCTGGATCACAAACTGAACTCAATTTAAACCAGATTTCAGTTTGAACTTGAAGAGAAACTTTCCATGAAAACATCAGAGACATGTTGACATGTTTCAATCTGAAACCAGGAGGTCAAAAAAGTCTTCAGCTCCACATTTACTTTAAGAACCAGTGTGTTTCACTGTTTGTCCACTAGAGGGCGCTGTCAGCTTGATCTGCACCTTGTTTAAAGGTCATCTCGCTGCATACAGTCACAGTGTTTAACTGATCACATCTGAAGTTTCATTTCAAACTGTTTTTTTAGTGTTTATTTAAAGATTGTTGATCCTTTAATGAGCTAAAGTTCCAGTTTCAGTCGTCTCTGAGAACATGAGAGGTTTCAAAACTCTCCGTAAATGATCCTTAAAGTATAAAAACAGCTCTTTAAAAAACGCTGAGACGAGTTAAACTCCTTTATTCAAAAGTGCTGCAGGTCAAAGTGTCAGGTGAATAAACTTCAAGTAGTTTAAAGCATCATGAAACTCTAAACTGTGACGCAGTAAACAGTGGTGAGATGAAGTCCAGATGTGATGTGTGTAAAGATCCAGATGTTGACGAGCAGGAGGTGAAGATGGTCCTTTGGGTGCTCAGAGTGTGCTCACATGTAAACAGTGTGAAGTGGATTCAAAGTTTGTCGGTGCTGATGAGCAGCTCGTCTCAGAAACAGGACGAAGCTCCAACATCAGCCTCCTCACTGCTGAGAGCCAAAAACCAAAAGGAGGCTGAGAGCCGAGCAGGAGGAGACTGAGCATCAGAGCAGAGCTGACGTCACACTGCTCACACACACACACACACACACACACAGAGACACACACACACACACAGAGACACACACAGAGAGACACACACACACACAGAGACACAGAGACACACACACACACACACACACCTGCTGTTCTCTGTGTGTCCAATGTGACGTCCAGTCTGATCTGAGTGTGATATGAAACTACACTCTGAGTGATACACAAACTTTTTGTTTCAGTTTCAGGTTTCTCTGCTGGATCGATTGTTGCTGCTGTCGTCATCACTCTTATTGTTGTTGTCATCGTCCTTGCTGTGCTCTTTGCCACAGGTCGCATCAGTTGTCGTAAAGGTAAGTTAAAGAACATAAAGTCTACCTGTGTGTCTCTCTTTAAGAGTCTTGTCAGTATCTCCTCAGTCTTCAGTCTGTTTTTCACTCTCTCAGTCAGATCAGTCAGTCGTGATTTTCTTGAACATCATTTAGTTTTTTTCTTCCTGCAGACGAGGAGAAAGGTGAACCCATAAAAGACCGCACTGAATCCGACCTTCTAGCTGAATGAAGTCAGGTAGACTCACGTCGTGTTCCTTCAAACCTCTGACTCTGGAACTCCAAAGTTATTGAAGCTAATCTGCCTTAATCCCAACATGAAGATGATTTCATCTGTTTGACCATCATGATGTCATACTTGAAAACAGCTGAGTGAGGGATCAATCCAACCAGGTGTTTGTTCTCACATTTTAATGAACGCCGTGGAGATCGGCTTTTTCCAATCAGAGCCCGTCGACTTTGGAACGACCTGAGGAGCATGTTCATGACACATCCTTACACCTCTAACGTTACTCTGCTTTAAATACACTGCAGCTTTAATGCATGATCATTTCATTAATATCATCTGTGAATGGAATCCAGGGTTTAAAACATAAAGTCTCCCTGTGAACATCCCAGAGAGCCTCTGACTGAGGATTTAAAGAAACACTTTGAAAAACAGGATTGATGTGAGAAAGTGTGAAATAGAAGTCCCTGTTTGTGTTGCTCTCCTGTTGATCCAGTGTGTGAATGAAGAAATGAGAGCAAAGGCGCTTTACGACTGACGGAGAATCAAAGCCTCATACTTCACTGAACTACAGCTGCTGTTTGACTGTAAATACATGAATTCTGTTGCTGCTACACTGAGATATAATGAGACTTTAAGATGTGGACGAGGATGTATCTCTTCTTTAGACTTTATAAAGCGAGTGTGTCAGGTAGAGACAAACACAGAGCTGAAGTATGCTCCTAAACTTTCTTTATGCTGCTGATGAATGACGCTCTGATGTTACAACGTGATATCAGGCTGTGCTTCATCAT